CAAGGAGTGAAAAATTTAAGGGGGTCTGAATACTTTCCGTACCCACTGTGTGTATATATATATATATATTGTAAATTTAAATGTTTAAATAAAAAATTTTTTTTATTAGGGCTGTCAAATTTAATGTGCACTATTTTATATATATGTTATGTATATATTTGACAGTGTAAAAGGACATATGATTTTTGGAAACATTTCATTTTGTTGTTTTTATAATGTCACACTTCCTATCTTTCTCAAACAATATAAATAAGTTTTAATACCTGAAAATATATAGATGTTTATATATTTCAGGATGGGGGTCATCTTGTTTGAGGGTCCTTGCCATCAAAAATTTTGAAAACCCCAGCTGTAGACCACATATCACATTTAAAAATATTTTTTGAGGCTTATGAACCATGACATTGTTATTTTCAGTAAACTAATCATTTCTCACCTTATCACAGTTTTTAAAATTTTACTGGTAGTCCACTGTATGAAGAATTTTTGGGTATAATATGTCACAGTTTAGGTCTGTGGGGTCCAAGAATGTGTCACATTCTGATCTGTAAATATGGGATTTGGGTTTCAGGCTGCGAAGAAGAAGAATTCTGTCATGTGTCTGATATTCGTGATGAAGGCCCTCTGTATTTTGCGTGTGTATTGTATCCTGACACGCGTGTATGTGGGGCATATGACAAACTGGTAAAATTTTACTGGTAGTCCACTGTATGAAGAATTTTTGGGTATAATATGTCACAGTTTACTTTATTTTGCTATTCTCACTAACATAAATGAACTATAGTGTCCTGCACGCACTGGTAAAAAAAATATATATCAAAAATGATATCTGGTGTCTGAATAATTTTTGGTTTGACTGTGTGTGTGTGTGTGTCTATACATATACAGTATATTAGGGATGTAACGGTATAAAAATTTCATATCACGATTATAGTGACCAAAGTTATCCCGATTATCAATACTATCACGGTTTTGTGAAATTTAGATGAAAATGTTCAAAAAGAACTGATACACACACTGAAAACATTTCAATAAGTTTTATATTTGAAAATCAACAAACAAGAAATACAATTAACAGCTATATGCACTTTTTTTTAGCATAAACATTAAATTAAAATTAACATGAAGCCCTAATAATAATACTAATAATAAATCACTTATATATATATATATATATATATACACACACAATGTGATTTCCGTTTGTGATTATGTGATCTTCGGTTAGGAGATCTTGTGATGCAAGTTGGGGTTGATTTTGAGTTCACATACAAACATAAATAGAATAGGCTAATTAAATTAGTCTATTTTAATGTAAGACAACATATTTTTCGTCAGTGATAGAAATATGATTTAAGATGGTAGTGTAAGCAAGTTTAGTTTGAAAACATTTAATAGTTAATAAGACACAATTAGACAATATTTGAATAAAATAATAATAATAATAATAATAAATATTTATTTGCAACAACTGACGGAGTACTGAATGCTGCACACGCGCAGCGTTGTCAAGGTAACATTTGGTCAGTCATTCCCTTTGCCGAGGGAGTTTCAAACGCTTATATGAGACAGTAATGCCCTGCACCTTTCAAAGAACACACTTCAAGGGCTCTGCCCTTCGAAGGAAGTAGGGCATAGGGATGCTCACTTCTGTTTGGAATT